AAGTGCACTGAGGTATGCGGTGAGGGGATGAGTGCTAGAGGTTGCTCCAAAATATGCTTAGTTAGTGTCTACCCACAAGGCCAGAGAGAAGCAGCAACCAGAGTATATGCTATCATTGACGAGCAAAGTAATAAATCCCTTGCACGTTCAGAATTCTTTGAGATGTTCAGCGACAATAGCACTCCATCTTCGTACACGCTCAAGACGTGTGCGGGCAGCATAGAGACTTCTGGAAGGAGAGCCTGTGGCTACATGCTGGAGTCACTGGATGAGAAGACCTGCGTCCCTCTCCCTGTCCTCATTGAATGCAATGAACTCCCGAACAACAGGTCTGAGATCCCAACACCTAGTGCAGCTTTGCATCACCCTCACCTGAGATGCTTAGCCAGTGAGATTCCCCCCTTAGACTCCAGTGCCCAGATACTGCTGTTGCTAGGGAGAGACATTTTGAGTATACACAAGATCAGAAAACAGATCAACGGCCCCGACAATGCCCCATTCGCTCAAAAGCTAGATATAGGCTGGGTGGTGATCGGAGATGTGTGCCTCGGCACAGCGCACCGCCCCTCCTCAGTCACTTCCCTCAAAACATGTGTCTTGGGAGATGGCCGCCCCAGCTACCTCACACCCTGCTCCAGTCACCTGCGTGTGAAAGACCCTCCACACAGCCACTCAATCCTTCATGATCTTCCATCTCAGCAAGCCGCTGCCCACACTGCTCCTCTGCTGCACAGGGACGACCTGGAGTCCTCCGTCTTCCACTGCACCGACAAAGATCACCAACCTGCTCCATCCATCGACGACCTCAACTTCCTGAAGATCATGGATACTGAGGTATGTCAAGATAGCACTCAAAGCTGGGTCGCACCCCTACCTTTTCGGACTCCGAGAGAACGTCTGCCAAACAACAGAGACTATGCCATGAAAAGACTCAAGTCAGTCTGCCACACACTAGAGAAGAAACCTGCCATGAAAGAACATTACATGCAGTTCATGCAAAAGATGATTGACAGTCAGCATGCAGAGATTGCCCCAGTCCTCCGAGAAGGACAAGAAAGCTGGTATTTGCCATCCTTCGGCATCTACCATCCCAAGAAACCCGAACAGATTCGAATAGTGTTCGATTCAAGTGCTCAGTATGAAGGGATTTCACTGAACAATGTCCTGCTCAAAGGCCCAGATCTGAAAAATGACCTGTTAGGCGTCCTCATCAGGTTCAGAAAAGAGAAAATTGCTGTGACTGCAGATATTCAACACATGTTTTACTGCTTTGTAGTCAAGGAGGAGCACAGAGACTACCTGAGGTTTCTGTGGTTCCGCGACAACAACTGGGACAGTGACATTGTGGACTACAGAATGCGTGTGCATGTGTTTGGCAACACACCGTCTCCTGCCGTAGCAATCTACTGCCTCAGGAGAGCAGCGAAAGAAGCAGAATCTGAATTTGGCTCTGATGTCAGAGCATTCATTGAGAGAGACTTTTATGTTGACGATGCTCTTAAAGGGGCATTTCAAAACTTTTAATCATTTTATTATGTACATTTGGGAAACGAGGGCCTTAGCAGGCAAAGTTTGAAAAAAAGACTCAGTCATGTTTTTGGGCAGTAGAATATAGAAAACTGACAGAGTTCCCTTACTACTCCCGTTGGTAAAAAAAATGCACAGGAAGAACATGCAAAACTCACCCGTCCAGAAATCGAGTCCAGTGGATTAATTTTATTTACAATGGAAATGTCCAGAGTTGGCAAAAGCTGTTGGTGTGCAACACTTCACCAGTGACTGTTTAAGACTCGGTCAGTCAGTGATAAAATGTTGCGATAAGGGCAGTCAACTATCTGCAAGAGGCAAAGAAACTGTAAGTATTTTAAAATTTATGCTGTTTTCATTGTGTGTAATGTTAGCTAATGCTAACAGCTTTTAGCGCGGACGAGTGAAGCTAACGAGTTATTGTTTGTTAGATGTGTAAATGAAACTTATATGGTGAGGTTAATTAACCACTGGTAGATGTCTATATTTTCCTGCTGCAAATTTTTATAGAGACTTACACAAGTTTAGCCATTAATTACCGGTAAATCCCCCCGGGCCGCCGTTGTTGCAGGGGGACTTACTGTTGTGAGCTTGGGGTTTAAGCACAACAGCTTTATTTTCGTTGTATTTGTAAATGTGCATGCTTTCAGAAGTAACTGTTACTATGTTTGTGTGTGTCGCTCTAAATAAGAATACGTAACGAGAACAACAAATCAAAGTTTTCTGGCATGCACCAGCTGTTTCCTTGTTAACTACAGACATTTAGACAGGAATAGTTAAGTAACGTTAAGTAACTATGTTAGTTACGATGCATCGGTACAAGGATGTTATTGTCGCCGCGACACAAAAACGGAATATAAACAAGGTCAGCATAGAATACGGGTACTATAATGTGATATCTAAACGAGACAGTTAGGTATTACGACTACAAGAACATGAGGCTAGAACTAACGATATAGCGACTGTGTTCATCATGGTTGATGATTCTTAAAACTTAGACAAGTACAGTGTCTGTTTAAACGAATAGCTAAATAACAGGACCTTATTGTTCAATGAAAACTAGTAGAGCATGACAGTCATTGTTAATCCGGATAAATCACAAAACAAATAATCAACAAGAACAGTTATTTGCTTTACGTATTTCGAGTATAAATATCACTGCTCTTGTGTTTAGGAAGCACATCGGCGCTGAAGGGTACATTTGATGAGCAGACAAACAACACGCCATTTGGAACCAGCTTTCAAGAAGCTCAACCTCATTTAGTACAGGTTAGTGACAAGTACTTATCATGTGATTTCTTGTTGTGTTCTGTTAATAGTAAAATATGATTGCTATCATTTTAGTTCGCATAAACAATAACATCATCTGTCGTTTTAAGGCAGAAACTGTTTCCGACATGTTGGTGTTAAGCTCTTAATCAACACCTATAAAGAAAGTAAGGAAGGAGGAGGAGGAAAGGAGACCCTTAGAAGGCAGTTCTGTGCGTAGGACAATGATTCAACATGACAACCAACCACGAGAAATTACGTAGTAAACATTTAACAATCATTGTGTTACATCCTACTATTGTAGCTTACTAGGACGATCTTGACATTTCTGTCAATGTTTGTGTTTATTGCAGATGGATCTACGCCTTCAAGACTCAACTAATGTTATGAGAACTGCTATGAGCTGTTTCAGGGGCCCTGTGTGTCAGGGAATGTGACATGCAGAAAAAATGGCACGTTTCTCGAGAACAGCGCGCATTGAGTTCAAGAAGGGAAGCAGCCTTTGACGGGACGTGTACGCCACTGGTGCCTTTTCTTTAAGCGAAAAGGTATGTATTTACACTAAACTATGAATAAAAAGGAATATAGCATAATGACAAATTTATATACACAATGTGTATTTGAAAAGTGATTACTGGGTGCGCGTCGTTTCTAAGATCTTCAAAATCTTAACCATGTAAAGACCCGCGATTGTACACAGGTGGAAGACGGCAAGACCAATTGACAGCTCAGACAAAATTGTCCGTGTGACGAAGACTCACCAGGTATGTAATACTTAAATAATCTTTTATATATATATAAATAAAACACAAAAATACTATTAATGTATATATAAAAATAATTACTTACTTAATTAAGTCAAATAGACAGAGGACACACTTTATTTACACGGTTAAGTGCATATAATCTGTAATTTACAGTGAGCTATACAATAATACATTTTATTGCTTTCTAAATAATAGAGTAATGAGGTTGAAGCTAAAGAAAAAGGCAAGAGGACCCTGGAGGAACGTGTTACAAGAAGATAACGACGTACAAAAAAGTTGAAATACAATTATAAAAAAAGTATTACGTTTATGTAATATAAGTTATTAAAATGTCTTTTTTTTTTTTTTTTTTTTTTTTTTTTTTTTTTTTTTTTTTTTTTTTTTTTTTTTTTTTTTTTTTTTGGTTTTGGGGGGGGTTTTTTTTTTTTTTTTTTTTAACATTAGGACACCAGGGAACTAGATTAACTTGTTGAAATAAGTATAATATGACTCCTTAAGTCGTTTGCAACAGAGTCCGAGGCCATAAGCGTGGTGAAGAGGGCACAGGAGTCGCTCTCCCACAACAGCCTCCGGTTGCACAAGATCACGTCAAACAGTGCAGCTGTCATGGCTGAATTCCCCCCGAAGACCGTGCAAGCAGCATCAAAGACCTGGACTTTGCCACTGATAACGTCCCCATGCAGCGCAGCCTGGGTATCAGCTGGAACATAGTCACAGACACATTCACCTTTCAAGTACAGCGAGATGACAAGCCTTTCACACGCAGAGGCGTGCTCTCAACCATAAACAGCATCTTCGACCCGCTCGGTTTTCTCTCACCCGTCACCATACAGGGGAGATCGTTGCTGAGAGAGCTGACCATGGAAAACGGTGAATGGGACTCGCCGTTACCTGGACACCTCCAAGCAGAGTGGGTGAGATGGAAGTCCTCCCTACAATGCCTTCAAGACATACAGATCCCCCGCTGCTACACATCTCTCTCCACCTCTGCAGCAAGCGCGAGAGAGTTGTGTGTGTTTGCGGATGCTTCAACCAAAGCAATCGCAGCAGTTGCCTACCTGAAGGTGACCGATGAAGATGAACGCTCCGAAATTGGATTCGTGCTTGGCAAAGCAAAGCTGGCACGAGACAATCCAGACTCGAACTCTGCGCAGCAGTCCTTGCTGTTGAGATAGCTGAGACTGTTGTGAGTAGCATGGTCTCACACATGAACTCTGTCACTTTCTATTCTGACAGCAAAGTCGTGTTAGGTTATATTAACAATGAGCAGAGAAGATTTTATGTTTATGTAAGCAATAGGGTCCAACGCATCAGACAAGCAACATCACCCCAACAGTGGAAGTATGTCCCCACAGAGCTCAACCCAGCCGATCATGGCTCCAGATCAGTTGCAGCTGCATCATTGAGAGACACCAATTGGCTGACCAGACCCGCCTTCCTTTCTGGTAAGCCTCCAGCTGATCATCCGTCACTGTTTGATCTAGTTGACCCAGAGTTAGACTCTGAGATCAGACCTCAGGTCGCAGTACTAGTCACTGAAACCACACAGCTCAGCTTAGGAACTGAGCGCTTCGAGCGTTTCTCAAAGTGGACTTCTGTGTTAAGAGCACTTGCGGTCTTGATTCACATAGCACAGTGTTTCAGGCAAACGGACAAAGACAACATATGCAGAGGGTGGCATACCTGTAAGAAAGCAATCACGCCAGAGAACCTGGAAAAAGCAAAGAAACTACTGATCAAGAACATGCAACAGGAAAGATATCCTAGTGAATTTAGCAACATTCAGAGTAAGTCAGACATTCCAAAACGGAACAACATTGCAAAGCTGCGCCCAGTGGTTGACAGCTGCGGACTTCTCAGAGTGGGAGGACGCATCACACAGTCTGGCCTTGAGATAAACCGCACCAATCCTCTCATCGTCCCAGCTCAGCATCACCTAACGACTCTCCTTGTGCGCCACCATCATGAGCAGGTAAAACACCAGGGCAGACACTTCACAGAGGGGGCCATCAGGGACGCTGGACTGTGGCTGGTGGGCGGAAAGAGGTGTATCAGAGGCACCCTGTCCCGGTGTGTCACCTGCAGGAGACTGCGTGGCAAACAAGAGCATCAGCTGATGGCAGATCTGCCTGCAGACCGGCTACAAGCTGCCCCACCGTTCACGTACGTCGGCCTGGATGTGTTTGGTCCATGGGAGGTCATCAGCCGCCGGACGAGAGGTGGACAAGCAAACAGCAAAAGGTGGGCAGTAATGTTCACCTGTCTGTGTGTGCGTGCTGTACACATTGAAGTGATAGAGACACTGAGTGTATCTAGTTTCATAAATGCTCTACGGAGATTTTTCTCCATCAGAGGCCCTGCTGCACAGATTAGGTCTGACAGAGGCACTAACTTTACTGGTGCGTCAAAAGAACTGAATCTGGAAGACGACGCAGACATGCAACGTTACCTACAAGACCAGCAATGCACATGGATTTTCAACCCCCCGCACGCCTCCCATATGGGAGGGGCCTGGGAGCGACTCATCGGAGTGGCCCGTCGCATCCTAGACTCCATGTTCTTGCAGCAACGCTTCTCTTCATTGACCCACGAGGTCCTCGTCACACTCATGGCAGAGGTTTGTGCAGTCATGAATGCGAGACCCCTGCTGCCTGTGTCAACTGACCCCGAGAACCCCCTCATACTCACCCCCTCCATGCTTCTGACGCAAAAGACAGGAGCCCCATCATCGCCTCCACCTGACTTTGGCAAGGCAGAGATCATTCGTCACCAGTGGAAGCTGGTACAATATCTCGCAGAGACATTTTGGCACAAATGGCAACGTGAATACCTGAGCACCCTGCAAAGTCGGGCCAAGTGGCAGGAAAAAAGGCCTAACTTGCAGGAAGGAGACATCATCTTGATGAAAGACAATGCAGTGCCAAGGAACCACTGGCCGATGGCAGTGGTCATCAAAACTTATCCCAGCAGAGACAATGTTGTCAGGACTGTAGATATCAGAGTGGTCCGCCAAGGCACTCCTAAAATGTACAAAAGACCAGTAACTGAACTTGTCTTACTTTTCTCTCCTAAACAGGATGTTACTTGTGTTTAAGTAAAGTGTGTGCATCTAAAAAGTAATAGGTGTGGTATCCTTAAGATACCAGGCAGGGAGTGTGTTGGTCTTAATGACCATTCATTCATTTTGTGTTTCTTGGTAAGACTTTCTTTGGCTATTTACAGTGCGTTAACGCCATCTATTGGCCACTTGCAGTAACGGCAGGTTTTGGTGTATGGTTTCTATTCCCGATGGTACTCTCGTTTTGAACGAGTTTTGTGTTCAGTCTTCCAGACCAAGTTGCGCTCTGTGTTGTGTCAATTCCTCTTACAAGTTTCTTCAAACCCCCGCACAGTCGTGTTTCCCACGGGGGCAATGCCGGTGAGTAACGCTGTGTGTAATATAAGGTGTTTTATATTAGCCGTTTTCTTAAGGAAATGAATGTGTTGCTACGAAGTGTAGATTCCTTTGTTTTCCATGTAATAGCGGCTCACGCTTAGTAGAAAACGATGTATGTGTTGCATTTGGATTTGGAAATGATTGGAAAAAGGCAATATGAGCTAAAAGGTACTTTTATTTGTGTTTACAGTTTTACAGCTTGTTTTTGCACTGCCGTGTGTAAAATAAAGGAGAGGAGAAAAAGACCTCGGGATAAAGCAGCATCTCTCTTCTTTGTTCACCTCACCTGGCTGTTTATACGCGCTGGATAACTAAATACGCAAACGTTTAGCGAGGCCAGTACAATCAGTATCAGGCTCAATGAAAATCAGAGCTATAGTTTGTGCAGTGGAAAGTCCAATGTTTAAGAGCTCATGTCTGGTATATGTGACCAGGGAAAGAGAGCAGAAAACAGAACAAATAAACAAAAACACAAACAGTACTAGAGAGCGCAGTAGTGAGGCAACCGTCCGTAGCACCATCTTGATCAGAAAACAACATGGAAACATTCTCAACTGTTTTTCTTAAAAGATAAAAACCACCTCAAGCGATTTTAAATGTTCTTTTTTAACTCAAGTCTAGTTTTTTTCAGACTTTCTATGAACCATATCTAATGCGATATGACAAAATGAACATGATTAATGTTAGCTGGCTACCAGCTACTGCTGGTGATCCTTTGGCTCACTTCCATTTCTTTAAAACACTGTGCACCAACTGTTTGAAGTGAGATAGTTTCCAGCTCTACAACTGTTTTTCACACAGGGTTGATAGTCAGCAATCAGCAGCAACAGTTTTAGCCAACATGAGCTTTAGGAAACAAAAAAGCAGAGACAACACCAGCTGGAACCAATGAAGCTGCAAACAGTTTAATATAAACAGTGCATATTTGTTTTGGAATTTCGTACAGAAATACAAATTCTTTTTTTTTGTTCTTTAACAAAGCAGTCGAGCCAAAATTTTTATATAAGGCCAGTGGGAAGAATCTGTCTATGTTTTTTGACAAGGCAGCAACAACTAATTTTAAATTAAATTAAATACAACCTGAACTATAAAACATATTTAGGAATGATCTGTCAACATTGATGCTGGTAAGCGGACCTTGAGTTAAGATATATTGTTTTTCCAAACTATTGTTTCCGAGGCCATAAATAAACTTTCATGCTCAGTCAAGGAGTCATAATAAGAAGTGACATAATAACAAAAGATGAACTGAGAAAAACGGCTTTCGCTGATGAAGACCATTAAATGGATTTGATGTTGGTTCTTCTCTGATTGCTCTGACATAAAAACATTCTTTTCTGCATAAGAATTTGAATTCCTTTAGTATTTTAGTGACTTCATTAAAAAGAAACGTTTTCACTTTTTAAAATATTCACGTTTTTCATGTGCCTCAGGACAGTTAAACTTATATGCTTGTAAATGTGAACCAGCCAAGATAGACCTAATGTCTGATTTAAGGATGTGACCAGAATGGTAGTAAACAAAGTCAGACAACTGACTTTTTTAAATAAATACACGTGTTGTTATTGCAGCTAAAGGATTGTCACATTCTGATAAGCCCTCAGCAGTGCTAGACTATGTGATTTGTGAGTTTTGTCAGAAGTGGTTTAATATATGCATGATTGACTGACTGTTCTTTGGTTGACATTGTGCGTTAAAGAGTTACTTAACAGTAAATCCAGTCAATTTACTGAGTGGATTATGTGTCCTCTCACCTTATTATACTATCAACTGATCCTGTTCCCAGTAGTTAGAGTCACTGTAACAGTAGATATTTGCCTTTTTCTAGAGAAAGTATAATAATGGTGTCATGTAGACCAGGACCAACCGGACCATACCATTGTAAGACGTATTCCCAAACCCCAGTCTGATGAACTAAAGTACCGCTTCATAGGGCTGTGTGTTAACAAGAATACAGTGATACGATATGTATCATGATTTAGGGGTTATGATTCAATATATATTGTGATATATCATAATACTGTAAGGAAGGTAATATTTTGCAATCTTTTAAAATCAAATTTTAGGAAAACTTATATGCAAGTAAGTAAGTGAGTAAGTAAGTACATTTAATTGATAAAGCATATTTAAACACAGTATAAACTGACCAAAGTGCTGTATAGTGGATAACTAAAAAGAAAAATAATACAGAAAAACACATTGGACCAATAGTCAATAATTCTATAAAACATGAATAAAAGGAAACCTTCAATATTAGGGCACACAACACAGAAATACATAGGATGAGCAGGAGTACAGGGTTAGGGAACAAGGAAGGCCAGGGAGTAAAAGTGGGTTTTTAGCCTGGATTTAAAGGCAGAAATGGAGGGGGCAGATCTAATATCCAGGGGGAGCTGGTTCCACAGAGGTGGAGCAGCAACTGCAAAAGCTCTATCACCCCTCTGTTTGAGCCGTGAGCGCGGTACATGCAAAAGCCCTTTATTTGAGGATCTCAGGGACCTTTGAACAGAGTAGGGCTGTACAAGGTCAGCGATGTATATTGGGGCCAGCCCATTTAGTGCCCTAAAAACAAATGATAAAACTTTGAACTGAATCCTAAAATGAACTGGGAGCCAATGCAAGGAGGCCAGAATGGGGGTGATGTGCTCACGCCTCCTGGTGCCAGTTAGAAGACGCGCAGCTGCGTTTTGGACCAGCTGCAGACGTCTAAGTAAGGACTGGGGGAGGCCAAAGTAGAGGGAATTGCAATAATCCAGCCGTGATGTAATAAAGGCATGGATAATTTTCTCAAGGTCATTGTGAGATAGGAAAGATTTGAGGCGGGAGATCATTCTGAGCGGGTAAAAACTATTTTTGACAACAGAGCTAATCTGTTTGTCAAAGCAGAGTTCGGAGTCGAGAATGACACCCAGGTTTCTGGCATAGGGTTTCTGACAGATGGGGTGAGCTGACCTAAGTTTTGTACTACAGTGCATCTTGACCAACAGACCAGAAGAGATTGCATGGAGTCCCTAGATTTTAGAGGCAGTACAGCTGTGAGTCATCCGCATAGAGGTAAAAAGAGATGTTATGCTTTCTTATAATGTCACCCAATGGGAGCATATACAGGCTGAAGAGCATAGGACCCAAGATGGACCCCTGAGGGACCCCATATGAAACAGGAGCAGATGATGAGGAGAACTGACCAATAGAGAAAGTCCTATGTTTGAGATAGGAGCGGAACCAGAGTAGTGCAGTCTCCCTAATGCCCACTTGCTGATCAAGGCGGGTGAGGAGGATGTTGTGATCAACGGTGTCGAAGGCGGCACTAAGATCCGGTAATATGAGGATGGCATTATCACCTGAGTCTAGTGTGAGAAGCAAATCATTAGTTACTGAAGTAGGGCTGTTTCGGTGCTAGGAAGGGGTCTGAAACCTGACTGAAAAAGTTCTAGTAGGCTGTGAGTGGTCAGAAAAGGAATCAGCTGTGACAGAACAGCTTTTTCCAGAACTTTAGAAATAAAAGGAAGCTTGGAGTTTTTTAGGCAGTTGGTATGAAGGTTGTGTTTTTTAAGCAAGGGTTGGACATCCTCATGCTTATACTATAAAGAACAAATAAGAAATAAGGAAATGTGGAGTGGCACTTTTGAACTGTTCATAAAAACTACAAGATTGACCTCCTTCCGAAAAGCAAGCTGAGAAAGATAAAGGAGAAGGAACTAAAATCACAGTTGTCTGGACATCAGTCATTTTTCTCACAGCTGACCTCAAAAGCGAAAGCAGCCACCGAAGCATCGTTCCGGGTGAGTCACTCCGTCATTAATCACAAGAAGTCCTTCCAAGATGGAGAGATGATAAAGAGGCAATTGTTTAAAGCAGCTGACTCGTTGTTTCAGGACTTTCAATTCAATTTTATTTGTATAGCGCCAATTCATAACAGAATTTATCTCAGGACAATTTTCAAATAGAGCAGGTCTAGACCGAACTCTTTATAACATAATTTACAGAGACCCAACAATTCCCACCATGAGCAAGCACTTGGCGACGGCGGCAAGGAAAAACTTCCTTTTAAGAGGCAGAAACCTAGGACAGACCCCTTGGCTTTAGGTGGTTGGTTGTCTGCCTCGACCAGTTGGGGGGAGAGAGAGAGAGAGAGAGAGAGAGAGAGAGAGAGAGAGAGAGAGAGAGACACAGACAGACAGACAGACAGAGACAGAGTCGCACAGCAACAACAGTAGCAACAACTACATTAATAGTAGTGACTGATGATGATGAACATGAAGAAGATGACGACGACGACGACAACAACAACGATGGGGGACAATGAGCAGTGATTATAGTAATAATAGTAATAATTAAAGCTGTAAGCAGCATTGAACAGGACCTCGAAGCCGGCACGTGTCGGGGTGTGCTGCGGCCACGTCACGTGCCGGCGTAACACATGCGGCCCACAACATGAACATTTCACGTAAATCAGATCAAAATCGCTATGCAGCGCTTACTTCCTGTTGCCAGTAGATGGCGCTCTCACAATATCTGAATATTGTCACGTAGATGTGTTCAGGGCGGGACTCTTATCAGACATGTCAAATTTCATTGAGATCAGATAATGTACACTAAAGTTATGAGGATGTGTTCAAGGTGAGACTGTTACAGAATATATGAAGTCTATTGGAGATTGGACATTGCACACTGAAGTTATGAGTACTGTTTTACGGCGAATCTGCTGAATTCGCCGAAAGTGAAAATGAAAATCAAAATGGCCGACTTCCTGTGGAGTTTCGGGTGTGGGTCCAAGAGGCTTTTTTGTACGTCCAGGCATGTTACACGTGCCTACCGAGTTTTGTACATATCGGTGAAACGTGGCGCCGGGGGTGCTGTTTATTTATCCTGTAGGGGGCGTTACAAGCACGACAAACACGATTTTTGGTATGTGAGCTTCAGGCACTCTACACGTTCCCTGTGAATTTCATATTCATAACTATTACGGTCTCTGCACAGTGATTTACCATGCCACCAGACCACCACCTAGTGGCGGATTGTTTTGACACATTTTTTAGGGAGCCTCAGGGAGCCATGGGCAAGCATCGTACCAAGTTTAATCTTAATCACACATACCGTTGTAGAGATGTAAACTTCTTCATTTTAAAGAGCGTCACCTAGTTGCGATGGCCTGAAATTGTGCACAATGCCTAAAGAAGACATGTGAAAATGTGGACCCAAGTTTGGTGTCAATCGGACATACTAATGTGGAGAAATGGTCCACTTCCTTTTTTGACGAAAAATCCACAGGAAGTGCTAATTTTATAACGTGCTTGTTTTTTGAAATATCAAAATTCTTTTAATCACTTTTTAATAAGGACGGTCCACAGATGCTACGTGAAAACTTTTGTGCAAATCAGACAAAGCGCGTAGGAGGAACGCAAAAAAGTAGTTTATGGACGTGGAAATACGTTTTTTGAATGAGCGATGCGGGAGTTATTAGCCTTAAACGATTTCCTGTTGCCACTAGGTGGCACTCTCACTATTACTGAATATTATCACATAGACGTGTTCAGGGCATTATCAAACACATGAAGTTTCGTTGAGATCAGATAATGTACACTGAAGTTATGAGGACGTGTTCAGGGCGCGACTGTTACAGAATATATGAAGTTTAATGGAGATTGGACGTTGCAAACTGAAGTTATGAGTGCTGTTTTATGGCGAATCCGCTGAATTTGACAAGTCGTCACTGGCACGGTCATTTCACGTAACTCGCTCAAAATCGCCACGCAGCGCTTACTTCCTATTGCCAGTAGGTGGCGCTATCACTATGTCTGAATATTGTCATGTACACGTGTTCAGGGCAGGACTGTTATCAAGCATTTGAAGTGTGGAGCCGATTGGACAATGTACACTCAAGTTTAGCGAATTCGTGTTTTGTGGCGGTCCATCGAAATTTCCCGCCACCCCACAGACACACCCCCTCACCACAGTCAACACATATCATCAACAATGTGTTTTGAATTTTATAAGTAAATTTCAGCTGGATCTGATCATCCTGCCTGGAGTAGAACATGAAAGTATAAAACGTGATACTTCCTGTTACCAGTATGTGGCGCTATCACTATGTCTGAATATTGTCATGTAGACGTGTTCAGGGTGGGACTGTTATCAAACACGTGAAGTTTCATTCAGATTGGATCATGTACGCTGAAGTTCAATTCAATTCAATTCAATTTTATTTGTATAGCGCCAATTCATAACAGAAGTTATCTCAGGACACTTTTCAAATAGAGCAGGTCTAGACTGAACTGAGTGTCATTGACGTGCTACGGTAAGCGTACTGACTCACTTCCGGTTTCCTTCCTGCTCTGTGTACACTGTTTGGTGCTGTAGCTCTGTCAGTGAACGCTAAATATAAATTAGTTTTACTCGTTACAGCGGTTATTTACCCGCTTAACATTTAAACGTAGACTAGTTCTACTTAAACACTTGGAGTTTCTCCCTCTTTTAGGGACTTTTCACTACTTTCAAAGTTTTTCATACACTCTAGTTTCATTAGCATTAGCAGTTAGCTTTGGCTTCTCCCTCTCCCTCTCCTCTGTCCTGCTCAGTGTGTCAGATGTTCAGTTATTCCTCTGCCTCCTTTAAAGATAATGGTACCTGTATTAAATGTAGTTTATTTACTGCGCTGGAGGCGAGGCTTAGTGAGTTAGAGGAACGGCACCGCACCACGGAGATATCTTTAGCCCCTATAGTTAGCCAGCCCCCGGTAGCCGGTGCAGTCCGACCAAAGGTAGCTTCTGTTAGCTCTGTAGTTCCCCCGGTAGTTCCCGAGCAGCCGGGAAGACAGGGAGGCTGGGTGACTGAGCGAAGGAAGACTAGAACGGCGAAGCCCACAGGTCACCACCAACCGCTTCACGTTTCCAATACATTTTCCCCACTCAGCGATACACCCGCTGAGGAACCAACTCTGGTTATTGGCAGCTCCATAGTCAGAAACGTGAAGTTAGCGAAGCCAGCGGCCATAGTCAAATGCATCCCTGGGGCCAGAGCGGGCGACATTGAATCAAATTTAAAACTGCTGGCTAAAGATAAACGTAAATACAGTAAGATTGTTATCCACGTCGGCGGTAACGACACCCGTTTACGCCAATCGGAGGTCACTAAGATTAATGTGGAGTCGGTGTGTAACTATGCTAAGACAATGTCGGACACCGTAGTTTTCTCTGGACCCCTCCCCAATGTGACCAGTGATGACATGTATAGCCGCATGTTGTCATTCCACCGCTGGCTGTCGAGGTGGTGTCCAGCAAACGATGTGGGCTTCATTGATAACTGGAAGCCTTTTTGGGGAAAACCTGGTCTGATTAGGAGAGATGGCATCCATCCCACTTTGGATGGAGCGGCTCTCTTATCTAGGAATATGGCGAAGTTTATCTCTAAAACCTGACAGTCCAGAGTTAGGACCAGGAAGCAGAGCTGCTGTCTTACACACTTCTCTGCGCTTTCTTTAGAACAGTCACCCACCCAAAACCCCATAGAGACTGTGTCTGTCCCCCGACCACCTAAACTATTTAAAGAAATAAAAACAAGAGGAGTTCAACATAAAAATCTAATAAAAATTAAAACCAACTCCTCAGTAGCACAAAATAAGAGAATGAAATGTGGGCTGTTAAATATCAGGTCTCTGTCCTCTAAAGCTGTTTTAGTGAATGAATTAATATCAGATTATGATATTGATTTACTTTGTCTTACTGAGACCTGGTTGTCCCACGAGGAGTATGTTAGCCTAAATGAATCCACCCCCCCAGTCATATTAATACTCACATTCCTCGAGGCACAGGCCGAGGAGGTGGAGTAGCAGCTATATATGATTCGAGCGTTTTAATGGACCCTAAACCTAAACTAAATTATAATTCATTTGAAAGCCTTGTTCTTAGTCTTTCTCACCCAAACTGGAAAACACTGCAGCCAGTTCTATTTGTTATAGTGTACCGCGCTCCTGGACCGTACTCTGATTTTATATCTGAATTTTCAGAGTTTCTATCAAAGTTAGTCCTTAAATCAGATAAAGTAATTATTGTAGGTGATTTTAATATTCATGTGGATGTTGACAATGACAGCCTTAGTAATGCATTTATATCATTAATAGACTCAATTGGCTTCTGTCAGAGTGTAAATAAACCAACTCATTGTTTTAATCACACTCTTGACCTTGTTTTATCCTATGGCATTGATATTGAACATTTAATAGTCTTCCCACATAATCCTTTCCTATCTGACCATTATTTAGTAACTTTTGAATTCATACTATTAGATTATAAGCCATTAGGCAAAACTTTCTACAGCAGATGTCTATCTGACAGTGCTGTAGCTAAATTTAAGGAGGAGATTCCTTCAGTGTTTAATTCAATGCCATGTCTGAATTTAACAGAGTCCTATAACAACTTTAGTCCCTCTGAAATTGATAATCTTGTCGATAGTGCTACAGGCTCACTACGATCAACATTAGACTCTATCGCTCCTATAAAAAGGAAATTATTAAAACATAGGAGACTAGCACCTTGGTATAACCACCAAACCCGCCAGTTAAAGCAAATAGCTAGGAAATCTGAAAGGAAATGGCGCTCTTCCAAATTATCAGAATATCGCTCAAATTGGCAAGATGATCTTAAGATTTATAGAAAGGCCCTCCGTAATGCCAGAGGAGCCTATTACTCAGCACTAATAGAAGAAAATAAGAACAACCCTAGGTTCCTCTTCAGCACTGTAGCCAGGCTGACAGAGAGTCACAGCTCTATCGAGCCACATATCCCCATAAACTTAAGTAGCAATGACTTCATGAGCTTCTTCTATAATAAAATTATTACTATTTGAGAAAAAATTAATCACCAACTGCCATCAACAGTTATCAGTGGCTCTCCAAGTTCAGGGACTTCTGTCAATGTAAACTTAGATGTATATTTAGACTATTTTTCTGCTATCGATCTTCATCAGTTAACTTCAATCATTTCTTCATCGAAGTCATCAACCTGTCTGTTAGACCCGATCCCAACTAGGCTGCTTAAAGAAGTTGTTCCCTTAATTGGCACTTCTTTACTGGATATGATTAATCTTTCTTTATTATCAGGATATGTACCACAGTCCTTTAAAGTAGCTGTAATTAAACCCCTTCTTAAAAAGTCCACTCTTGACCCAGGGGTTTTAGCCAACTATAGACCGATTTCTAACCTCCCGTTCCTCTCTAAGATTCTGGAGAAAGTAGTCGCCAAAGAGTTGTGTGACTTTCTACATAACAATAGTTTATTTGAGGATTTTCAGTCAGGATTTAGAGTTCATCATAGCACAGAGACAGCTCTGGTTAAAGTTAATAATGACCTTCTGACTGCTTCTGACAATGGACTTGTCTCTGTACTTGTATTATTAGATCTTAGTGCTGCATTTGACACCATTGACCATGATATTCTTTTACAGAGACTTGAGCATCAAATTGGCATTAAAGGAACTGCCCTAACCTGGTTTAAGTCATACTTATCAGATCGTTCTCAGTTTGTACATGTTAACGATGAATCCTCCATAAATACTAAAGTTAGTCATGGAGTTCCACAAGGTTCTGTACTTGGACCAATACTATTTACTTTATATATGCTCCCTTTAGGCAACATTATTAGGAATCACTCCATTAACTTTCACTGTTATGCAGATGATACGCAGTTATATCTATCAATCAAACCCAATGAAATTAATCAATTATCTAAATTACAAACATGTCTTAAGGACATAAAATCCTGGATGACCTGCAATTTTCTGATGTTAAACTCAGAAAAAACCGAAATTCTTGTTCTTGGCCCCAAAAACCTTAGAGACTCATTGTCTAAAGATATAGTCACTCTAGATGGCATTAACTTGGCCTCTAGCACCACTGTCAGGAATCTTGGAGTTATCTTTGATCAGGATTTGTCATTTAACTCCCACATAAAGCAGACCTCTAGGACTGCCTTCTTTCATTTACGTAATATTAGAAAAATTAGACACATACTATCACAGACAGATGCAGAAAAACTAATCCATGCATTTGTTACTTCAAGGCTGGATTACTGCAACTCTTTATTATCAGGTTGCCCCAATAAGTCCATTAAAACGCTCCAATTAATTCAGAACGCTGCAGCACGAGTACTGACAGGAACTAGAAAAAGAGATCACATCTCTCCTGTACTAGCTACTCTGCATTGGCTCCCTATAAAATGTAGAATTGAATTTAAAATCCTCCTCCTCACCTATAAAGCTCTTCATGGTCAGGCCCCTTCATATCTTAAAGAGCTCATAGTACCCTATTACCCCACTAGAACACTACGTTCTCTGAATGCTGGGCTATTTGTGGTTCCTATAGTCTCTAAAAGTAGAACAGGAGCCAGAGCCTTCAGTTACCAAGCTCCTCTCCTGTGGAACCAGCTTCCAGTTGTGGTTCGGGAAGCAGACACCCTCACCACATTCAAGAGTAGGCTTAAGACATTCCTCTTTGATAAAGCTTATAGTTAGGGCTGGATCAGGTGAGTCCTGAACCATCCCTTAGTTATGCTGCTATAGGCCTAGACTATCGGGGGATTTCCCATGGTGCACTGAGCTACTCTCTTCCTCTCTCTTTCTGCACTCATTCATGTCCCTTTAATGCATGTTACTAACTCCACTTCTTCCCCGGAGTTCTTGTGCTTTCTCGTCTCGCAGGTTCTCATGGATCCTGGTGGAGCCTCCTGCCATGGTCCTGCTTGACTGCCATTGCCATTACTGTTGTTGCTGTGCATCTGTCTGTCTGTCTCTCTCTCTCTCTCTCTCTCTCACCCCAACTGGTCGAGAGAGACGACCACCCACCTAGAGCCGGAGGATCTGTCCTAGGTTTCTGCCTTTTTAACAGGCAGTTTTTCTTTGCCCTTGTCGCCAAGTGCTTGCTCATGGTGGTACTGTTGGGTCTCTGTAATTAATGTTAAAGAGTTCGGTCTAGACCTGCTCTATTTGAAAAGTGTCCTGAGATAACTTCTGTTATGAATTGGCGCTATACAAATAAAATTGAATTGAATTGAATTGAACTCTTTAAAACATTAATTACAGAGACCCAACAGTACCACCATGAGCAAGCACTTGGCGACAAGGGCAAGGAAAAACTGCCTGTTAAAAGGCAGAAACCTAGGACAGATCCTCCGGCTCTAGGTGGGTGGTCGTCTGTCTAGTTAGTAAGTTATGAGGATGTGTTCAGGGTGGGACTGTACACTGAAAATATGAGTACTATCTGTTTGATGGCCAATCGGTGGAATTTGACACGTCGTCACGGGCACACGGTTAAACATACAGTCACAAATAGCACAACTTTTGATAACCAATGTGTGTAGATTGAAGTGATCGAATTTGAAGTCAATCTGATAAAATCTGTAGGAGGAGTTAGTTAAAACAGAAGCCCTTAAATGCCGGAAATAGCATCACAGTTTGACATTCGATTCAACCTTGCCAACTTTGAGGGAATGCCATAGACACGCCCTTTAACGTACAGTCACAAATAGCACAACCTTTAATCAGCACCATTTTTTGACTGTACTGACTAATTTTGAAGCAGATCTGATACATTCTCTAGGAGGAGTTCGTTCAAATACAACGCAAAAAAATGCTGAAAATCATTGCAAAATGCCGGAAATGGCATCACAGTTTGACAGTTGATTCAACCTGGCCAACTTTGAGGGAAAGCCACGGACACGCCCTTTAATGTACATGCACAAATAGCACAACTTTTAATCAGAACAATTTTTTGACATTACTGACCAATTTTGAAGTAGATCCGATAAATTCCCTAGGAGGAGTTCGTTCAAATACAACGCGAAAAATTCACCGAAAATGCGCACGGAATTCACTATGGCCAACTTTGAGGGCACACCACGGACACGCACAAATAGCATACATGCACAAATAGCACAACTTTTAATCAGCACCATGTTTTGACTGTCCTGACCAATTTTGAAGCAGACCCGATAAATTCCCTAGGAGGAGTTCGTTCAAATACAAGGCAAAAAATAACAGAAAATGACCAAATAAATCAAAATGGCTGACTTTGATGCCACGCCACGGACACGCCCTTTAATGTACATGCACAAATAGCACAACTTTTATTCAGCACCATTTTATGACTGTAATGACCAATTTTGAAGTAGATCCGATAAATTCCCTAGGAGGAGTTCGTTCAACTACAACGCGAAAAGTTTGCCGAAAGTGAAAATGAAAATGAAAATGGCCGACTTCCTGTGGGGTTTCGGGTATTGGTCCAAGAGGCTTTTATGTACGTCCCGGCATGTTACACGTGCCTACCGAGTTTCGTAAAAATCGGTGAAACGTGGCGCCGGGGCTGCTGTTTTTTTATCCTGTAGGGGGCGCTACAAACACGACAAACACGATTTTTGGTATGTGAGCTTCAGGCACTCTACACGTGCCCTGTGAATTTCATATTCATAACTATTACGGTCTCCGCACAGTGATTTACCATGCCACCAGACCGCCACCTAGTGGCGGATTGTTGACACATTTTTTAGTGAGCCTCAGGGAGCTATGGGGAAGCATCGTACCAAGTTTCATCTTAATCACACATACCGTTGTAGAGATATAAACTTCTTAATTTTAAGGAGCGCCACCTAGTGGCGATGGCCTGAAATTGTGCACGATGGCTAAGGAAGACATGTGGAACTATGGACCCAATTGGTGTCAATCGGACGTACCAATGTGGAGAAATGGTCCACTTCCTTTTTTGACGAAAAATCCACAGGAAGTGCTAATTTTATAACATGCTGGTTTTTTAAAATATCAAAATTCTTTTAATCACTTTTTTATTATGAGGATCCTCAGATGCTACGTGAAAAATTTTGTGCGAATCGGACAAAGCGCATGGGGGGAACACGGAAAGGTAGTTTAAGGACATTTCACGCTCCAGCGGAGAAAAATTATAGGCTCCATTCACCGAACGCGTGGATATGAGTTTCTTAAATGTGCGACAAACTATGCAGAAGTTATTAGCCTAAACGCATTTTTTATGATAGTAGCGCCACCTAGTGGCCAACCTGAAAGCGACGCATAGAATGTCCCCATTTTCACTAGGCCTGATAACTTTGCCAAATAAAATTGAGTTTTCGTATATGTTCAGGGGGGCAAAAATGCAGTCAAAGGGGGCTAAAAATAATAATAGGTAAGGAGAAGAAATCAAGTGAAAACAATAGGGACCTCCAGCGGTCGCTGGCTTGGTCCTTAATAATAGGGGAGAAGAAACGAAGCAAAAACAATAGGGACCTCCAGCGGTCGCTTACGAGGTCCCTAATAATAGGTAAGAAATCGAGCAAAAACAATAGGGACCTCCAGCGGTCGCTGGCTCGGTCCCTAATAAAGGAATTCTGATTCTGATTCTGATACAGGCCTTGGGGGCGGGAGGTAGGGTCATGTATCTGAGCTTGAATGCATTTTATGAATAAAATAATAAGTCACATTCAGACATAAATGGGTTGTTAAACTAACATGCTCTTAAATGACTTAAGAGTTCAGGCTTTTATGATTTCTTTATTTTTGAATTGAATGATTACTTTACCCATTAAATTTAGTCTGGCCCCTGATGAAGCAGTCTCTCTCTCTCTCTGTTAGCATCTGTTTCAGGCCCCCTCCCTTCCTCCCTCTTTCTTTAATTTGATGTTGCACGACAAAAACACACACAAGTGCCTTCATCTTTGCCTCAAAAATTGTGAGATTGTTGTAAATATCTAAAGAAGAGCATTTAAATTGTCCAAGTGCTGGAGGGGACGGAGCCAAATGTGGGTCAAAGAACAGATTGGCATTAAGCCTTTTCCATATGTATGCTGATGATTTAAGGGGGCAGAAATTCACTTAGAGTGCAAGGGTAATCATGCATGGGGGGCTGCACCAAGAAATTGGTTACATATTGAAGTGACACTGTGTTGGAAATTGAAAGCAGAAAGCAGAAAGTCCAAATAAATCAAATAAGCGAGACAAATGGTACAATCTGCCTCTCTCTCTCTGTGTGTGTGTGTGTGTGTGTGTGTGTGTGTGTGTGAGGACTCTCACTGCAAGAATGATGGAGGCTTAACCTGTCAGTTTCATAAAACAGTCTACAGACCTGAAGCACCATTCAACCTGGATTCTAATAACAAAGGCAAGTCCAGTCATTTACAGTAATAACCTTGGGAGGCAAGAGTTTGGCAGACCGAGTCTGGATCTGCTGGGTTCATGTTGGCCAGATCGTTCTGTTATGTTAAACAGAGGAACCCACAAGCAGAACACAGACTTGGTTGGTTATGATTTCCGAAG